ACAGCAACCAAGAGACAGGAGACTCTGGATAATTAAGGAGAGCTCTGCAACTCGAGCATAATTACATGAAACGGTGGCTGCGCCCTGAGCACACGGAGCCATGAACAGCAAAGGAAGCACCCTGCGAGACGGCATCACAGAGGATGAGTCAGTTGGACCTTGATGCTGAGCAGACAGGTTGGCTAATAGAGCCCAGCTTTGGCTATAATTTTTCTGCAAGGTAGAATAAATGGCTTTAGAGAGCCTGTCTCAAACCACAGGTAGCTGAGGGCTCTTTGTGTTAACCAACGCATTTGTCTCAACACCCTTTAATAGACAGAGTCAGATCTGCTTACATCCAACAGGCTGGAGGCTAGGAGGCAGGTTTCTGCCATGATTAATTCCACTTCATTCTAAGTCAATAGGAGTCTCTCCACATGGAGTGAAAGAAGTGAAGGTTTTATACAATAGAACACAGCAAATACAACACACAAAATACATAACATAAATGCAAAATACAGCACAACAGGAAAATATTAGAGGCTTTCAGAATACAATTCCACACAGAGAAGCCAACCCCCCAAAAAAGAAAAATCCGAGTATTTCACAAGGTTGAACGGGAAAGCAGAAACCAAAACCAAAGAATGCTCTTACCCATATTCCCACTGCAATGTTTAAGGAAAAATAAGCCACTATGACAATAAGATCAGCAATGCTAAATTGCTGTAAGGGGCCAAAGGATCCAGCAGTGGAATTAACCTCCATCGTCCCCGCTTCTTCTTTCTTTGTCCTCAGTAAAAACCTCAAAAAGATCGTCACCAAATCAGTAACTTGCTAGCTGGCCGACGGAATTAATCATTAAAAAAAGCCAGCACTACAATTTTTGCTTCCAAAGGTGGTTGTGTAGGCAGATCAGCTGTCCAAGTACAACCAAGTTGTTGCCCCCCCCCCCACACACACACCCCTTTTCTACTAACATACAGCTGCCGAGAGCTGCAAGCTGCCAAGGTCAGGACCAGTAAACTAGGCAGCTGTCAAGCCATCAACAAAGGTGTTCACAGCCAACACAACAGAAACTCTTTTCAGTTAAATTTCAGTTTGAGATGTCCGTGTGTGATAATGTTCCTCCAGTCTCCCACCACAGGCATTCCCTCCAACTTTCTCTTAGCTCAAGCCTTTGCAGCCTTGGGCCCTTCTCCCTTTCATTCCTTCTGGAAGGAGGCATCACAGGGTGAAAGCAAAGCAATTCTAGAGTAAGCCAAAAATCTCATACAGTGCTCCTTAAACCATCCATTTTCCCCAGCACCCTTCCTGTTGATGGGCAGAAGGAAGCACTGTGCAGAACATCTCTTGATTTCAGTACTTCACCAACAAGCAGCTAAGTCCTAAGGACTTGTTGCATCTGCTGTGTTTACTCTTGTGTTCAAGAAGCTGCATGTTCCAGTCTGAGCTGTTCCACACACAGACATTTAGCATGTTTCTCCAATGCAGATTCTCAAGGTGCGGGCTCACAATAGCCTTTCTGTTTGCAGAGGTGTCTTAGATCCAGGTAATTGCTGGAGAATAAACTGTCAAGGCTTCTTTCCTCTAGCCAGCTATTTTCATCAAACCTGCAGAATTTTAAACACTTGGCAGCTGTTACTCCTCTCACGGTTAAGATTCACCTAAAGCTCTAACAGGCACACAGATTGCATAAACTGTGTTTCATTAGTAAACCAAGCTAAAAAAATTAAGAATTTTTTTTAGACATTTGGTCACTTGCACATATGAGGGTTGTTTTAGGGTAAATGCTACTAGTTCTAAAATTTTGTCATTTCAATTTAATCAAGTAGAAATTATGTTTGTAATTAAAAAATATTAGCATAAGTGTTTGTTAACATTGGAAAGGTCTTCCATAAGCTGTAAACCAAAACCTAGTATTTTTATTGCAGATGATATGAACCTGGAAAGAATTTGCATGATCTTTTGACTAGTTCATTACTGTAAGAATTGCTAAATAAGGCAGTTTCTTTCATTCCACAAAGTGTATATTCTTTATATTTGAAGTATTCCAGAGAAACACCTCTAAGAGCAGCTGGTATTTCTGGTGACCTAACATTTTGCTTCTGAGAAAAGTACACAGAGATTGGGTAATTCTCCAGTTATTTTGTGTTAAGAGAGGGATAAAAAGTGGTTGAGTGAAGTCATCTGTGCTTTGCTGGGTCAACCAATGCAGCAGCACTATGAAAAGCTGAAGGGCCAGCAATCCAGTCTTACCTCAGCAATTGATTCCAAATTCCTTAGTCCCAATCAATACAATAATCATACTGCACTGAACTGGCCAAGAGTTGAAGGTTTTTTTACATATTAAACCAGTGATAAAACGTGGAAACACTTGTGTGAACATCCAAGGTGGACCCTAAGCAAACCAGTGATGGCCCATCAGCAGAAATGCTCATAGAAGAGATGAAGTTATTCCTTCAAGGCCAATGTGAAACAAGTACCAGGGGAGAAAAAACCTCCCCTGCACAAATCGTGGCAATTACCTAAGACACAAAATAAGAATAAAAGCAAACTAAACCACTTTCAGGATCTTTTGAACGGGACAGAGTACTACAGCCAAACTGTCAATAGCCAGTCTTGTTTTTGGAGGAGAGAAAAGCACTATGAAACGCTCAGACACATCCAAGTACCAAAATACAAGCTGCAGATGCTCTCAACTCTGCAGAGGAGATTATTGTTAGATGAACCTACAAATCACAGTATTAAGCACTGTGAATCTTTATTCTACTCAGAACAGATGAGCTTGAATTCTGCAAGCCTTTACTTCACACTGGTCCCCCTCTGAACAGGACAGTATTACCTATACCAGTTCACATCATAGACCTTGGCCAGCTGGAACTTCACAAAATGGACAGGCTACTCTGTTTTTTGTTCTAAACTGTTGAGCCACGCACTGTTACACATTGTTTTTACCTGCAATAGCATTCTTGATGTTTTATTGCACAGCCCTTCCTAAAACCTTACAATTCTACTGCAGGAGCATTACAGGAAACAACTTTTGATTTTAATGCTTTCTGGTATTTAGGAATCAGAGTTTTATGCTTCGGATGCTTGGCTAATTTACTTCAAGTGGCAGTACGCTTTCCAACCGCTTATCACAACGTTTCACTAAAAAAATATACTGCAACTAATATATATCGCTCAAACAGATCGTCATGTTTCTCTGGTATTTGAAATAGCCGCTGAAGCATCCAGAAGTAGTTTTGAACACTGGTGAGAGAGACTCAAGTTCTCACTCTCATTCACTGCTCAGCCGGAATTTAACCTGCATGGATACACTGAAAGCACATAAAAGCGTTAATACGTCAGCTTAGTGTATCTAGTAACATCACTCAACTGTTTAATAACCTATTGTAATTAAAATATAACCCAAGTACAGTGTTGTATTCTGACACTGATAGAGGTAAAACATACCTCTCTGGACAGGACTACAGAAATCAAACAGAACAATCTCATGAAAAATAAGCTCACAGAATGAAGAATTAGAACAGTGCTGTCTGAACAGAAATGTGGAATTGCTTAAGTAGAATATTCATCGCACTTGCTGAATATATCAATGCTGAATCTGCCAGCAATATCCAAGTATTCCAGTCGCTGTCCAAGCCTCCATCCTGTCAGATGCTGTGCCAACACAGAGAGGAGAAAAACAAAGGCAGCTTTTATCCTTAAAAGCAAATCAAGGTTATTTTCAACTCTAGCTATAGCTCATTCATGCCCTTGGAGGACTGTCTGAAGCAGAGAAAAACGGCGTCGAGACAGGTTACTTTTCACTTCTGGTTTTGGACACGCCAGAGGTTTTGCACTCATTCGTAGGATATTCTAATTTAGTGAGATTAAACCTAAACGTCCTGCAGCACTAGAACACTCACTGTCTAAATCAAGATATGCTGCAAGCTATTTTCCACTCCAAAGAGCCCCTGTACCTACAAGATGCCATTTAACAAACTACCTCACGCATGCATTGACTAAAGTCAGTGTTGAAGGCTCGGATTTTCATTAAAAAATTGAAGGTTTCAGACTATTCGGTCCCAAAGTTCTGCTTCTCAGAGCTGTCCCTGTGCCTGCCCATCTGTCTAGTCCACACCTATTACCATACTTGCAGACTGCAAAAACACATACCGAGGAGGAATCCGTTTCTTGGGGGTGCACCACTGATTCATGCTTGATAAAGCATAGATATATTTAGTCACAACTGCCTGAAAACAAAGTCAAATATGTACACTGAAAACGTATTATAATGAATGAATTACAACCAACCTCATGTAACATATCCGTGACAGCACATGGAACTGGCTAGTTAAAGATTGTTTCTTGCCTGTTACGAGATGGCTCAGCAACAAGATGGAGGTCAAAAAGCGACAATGAGAAACAGTATTAGGGAAAAGCAGCCTCTCTGCATTTCATTATAAACAACAAGCAAAAAGCATATTAGTTTCCTTACTGCAAAGAAATGGGAGTCCTGTTTGTATTCCAAAGGAACATACAGCATACAAGAATCAATTCGCCCCTTGATTTCTTTCAGTAATATAATGCCCGCAAATAATTTCTAGAAGGAACGCACTTTAGAAGATAAGCCACTATTATGTAAACATTTTTAAAAAGCTCACACAAAACAAATCTTTATTCTTTGTCGCAGAAAATAAATACAGGTGCATATTTCATATGCTTTTCTATAAAAGCACTCCTACAAAATCACTGAACTGCATACAACAGTACAACCCTTTTGGCTTTTAAAATGCAAATATTATACAGTCACTTCATTTTATTATCTTTATAGCACTTGTAAGCAAGCAGCTTTGGAAAAGGAATGCTTAATTTAGAAGCCAAATTCTCGCCTCAAGTGTTTTTTTTTTCTGGTTATGTATATGGTGCAACTAACCTAAAAGCAACTAGAACAATTTTCTGTAAAATGTTTATTCCCTGCCCCCTCCCCCCCCCAAAAAAAAATTACAAAGAAAAAATAGCTCTTAAAATCTGTTCTACCTTGATATTTAAACCAAGAGAAAACAAAAAGTGGCTCAATTGAAATATTAAGATAAGCATGATGCTTCACAGCTCATTATCTGTTCTCTTCCAGTTTGGCCCGGGGTGTTCCTTTAGAATAAAAAGCATTAATCATCCAGTCCTATATTTCTGAAAAGGTATGACATGGACTCCCCATTGTGGATTCTGCGAATGGCTTCCGAGAGGATCATGCTGATATCTACAGTCTTGATCTTAGGGCACTGGAGTTTTTGTATTTCATGTGGAATTGTGTTTGTAACAACAACCTACAGAACGAAAAAAATCATCAGAAAGACTTAGCTCCCTTATGTTTCCCCCTCCCATATTAGAACTGTGAGATACTAAGATTCCAGCATACAGTTCAACCGTAAGAAAGCATGAACCCAAAAGCTACCCAGCTATACTCTTAATGCCAATATATTTTAAGAATCAAGTCAGTAAAAAATTGCTTGGAAAAAAGCTTTTGTTTAGAAATTTAGAATCCACACTTACTTCATCAATTGCAGATTCCTCTATCAGCCTGGGAGCATCTGAAGAGAGCAGGCCATGTGTGGCCATTACAAAAATTTTGTAGGCCCCTCTTTCCTTGAGGGTTTCAGCTGCAGCAAGAAAGCTGTCAACATCATCTATAATGTCATCCTGTCAAAATATGATTGGGTCAGTGAAGATTCAACATGGCCTCAGAAATATCACCACAGTGCACCCAGAGTGACATTAAATCTTTCTCAAGTACAATAGCTTACATCCAGCGCAAAATGGGCATTTTTATTGATACTGTCCTTCAGGCACCTGAGCTGGATTGCAAAGGCTGAAGAGTGGGAAAGTAGAATGCGCAAAACTACATGCAACACTGGGGGGGGGGGGGGGGGGGGGAAGGTTGTTCCAGGAGAGGAAGAAGGGAAAAAAACAACAATTCCACAATTCAAAAGCCAGACTAACACATATATTGTCCTTTTCGATTAAAAGCCCAGAGATTACTATTTCTTCAAAGCAGACTGTAAGATTGCATCACTTTCTACCTCACTGGCATTTCTAAATTCACAGAATATAAACATACATGATCGTTTCCCCCTTACCTGATGTATAAACTCAAATTGAAACTTGTCCCCTTTGGGGAAGCATTTCAACAAAATTTCATCAGGCCTATTCAATAGAAACAAGTTCTGAACGCTGCTTTTTATTTCATACAATCAGCTTCAGCAAATACGCAGAATATTGCCTCATGGGATGAAAACACAGTACCAAGGCCCTCCCTCCGTTAATCAAAGTTTAGCTGTTGATAGGCAAAGTATATTGAAGTCACAGAAATCAAGTACGTAACACAATTTATCAAAAGCTATGGCATCGCACTTACCACAATGATGGCGATTCTTCCTCCTACATCTCCAACAACTGTGATGGGTGGTTTTTCCTTTGGAATTAGCACTGATTAATGTCAATTTTTTTAGAGGAGAAGGAGGGAGGGAAAAAAAAGAGAACATTTATGCAGTTTACTTCAACTGTGGAAATGTCTGCTTTGCACGGGTCACCAGCGTTATAGAAAAAGTAGTAAAGTAGCAACTATTTCAGTCATCACAGTGCTACTGGGAAAAGCAGAGAGATTTTTATACATAACTGACTGTTTAAGCTTAAAGAATTAATTACAGGCAGTTATGCCCCAATTCTTAAACTATACATAGTCCCACTGAAATGTTCCTAAGAATAAGAGTGTGAGGGGCACACGTTTTCAACATAACTCTCACACTCAGTCTGGACAGTAAAAGTTTAAAAACATTTTGCTCACATTCAAGGTTTAGGCAGGAATTTGAATTTCTTTGTACCATTTGGCAAAACCCATAAAAAAAAATCAACCGTGCTACTCACAGCAGTCACTGGTACATAATATTCCAGTACTCTTTCTACAATTTTATTACAGAGAATACTGAGTGGCTTTCAGACACACTTCAATCACTCTACCAAGATTCAAGACAGGTTTAGGCAATGAAGGTTTGCTGCCATAGCTATAGGTCACATTCACATTCAACAGGCTTACTCAGCAAGCAGTGACATTGATACAACTGCACAAAAGCCCAGTGTCAGCTCAGTTTTTTAACTCCAAATCCCAGAAAAAAAATTCAAACAGAAAAATGAACTGTCATATGTGGGCTCTGTGCCAGGGGCTCTCCCGACTGGCCGTAATGGCAAAGCCCTTCCTACACAGGACACAGACCTAATGTATTGCCTAGCATGAACAACATGGACAACGAGCATCAAAAAGCCACCTTTTTCTCCTAGTGTATTAATAAGAAATGCTCCTTTTTGATCATCTCCCCCTGCCCACCCCTCAAAAAAACAGTAGATGAATGCTTGCACACACAAACTTACTTACTGGGTATCTCCAAACTGGGATGAATAGCAGCTACATTTTTGGCTGTAGGTGGTGAGTGTCGACCATCCACCATGTCAGACTCAGCATCCTGAGCTTCCCCATGAATTACGGCAATTCCTAACCGTAGGCGTTCAGCAAACGACTGTGCCCTGCAGGGGAAGGATTTAAAAATAAAAATAAAATTATATTGTATAATTCACATGCATACAATGCTAATCAATTTTATTTCTAAAGTTTCAGAGCAAAAAAAAGGATTGGTTCTAAAATTTAGGAAAAAGTAGAGAAGAAACCACTTTCCCCTTAGCATATTGTTTTCACCAGACTTGTGAGAGTCGGAATAACTCTGAAAGTATCCATATAGGCCTTGTAAGCAACAGGGTAAATGCTGTGAATCATACAATTCAGACTACTCCCTTCTGTTTTTCAGTGTCCATGCCAAAGAATGCCCAACAGTTTAAAACAAAAACAAACAAAAAAACCCCTAGACCTCAGCATTCTTGAGATCCCATGCATAAGCAGGTCTCATCTAACAATCACCGAGAAAAGCCTTGAGGTCTGGATCGTCTACGTTTAATGAGTTAGAAAAACATTTATTCAAATGAAAACAGAACACGTGTTCACCTATTTATTTAGCAAGGTATGCACTAAATAAGCCAATATCCCTGACATCCTGACACATAACCTGAGAGATCCCAGAGAAAAGAGAATTCAGACCATCATTTTGCCTAACAAACCACTCTGAAGTTAAACAGCTTGGATTTTTTTACAACCCTAACAAAAAATTCTTTCACCATGCACTAGTGGGGAGAAAAAGAGAGTCAGGAAAATAATAATTTCAGAAAATGTTTGTATCCCAGGTGCCAAGTGGTAGAAAAACATAAGTAAAAATTAAGTGAGATTCACTTTACCTAACTTTGCACACCCAAAATTTCAGTATCTAGCCTGAGCCAGTGATCTAGTCTCCTTCTAGTCAAAGTGAAGCTAGCACCTCCAGAGTGAGTCACTTAGTTCTAACTAGTGCCTAAGACCTGTGGCCTAAGCCACCTGCTTTACAGTTACGCCTCATTTCACTGTCCAAACCACTCAAAGTCCAGAGAATACTTTACCCATGATGATGCTCTATTAATTAACACTGAAGAACCTTCTGCCCTGCAGTATTAGCATGAAGTTAGGATATTGTTTCAAGTGGTAAAACAGCATAAATTATGATTCCAAACATATTTACCTAAAAAGTTATGACCTAAAAGATGTAATCCCACTAGTGAAACCATAAGGGCTTTAAATGCAATAAACTGAATAAAGTTCCAACTAACAGTGAAATGACTTATTATTCATTTTTCATTGGGCTCAGAAACATTCTGAACTCTATCAAGCAAAACTTTTCTTTCACAGGTAGACATTCATCTGAAAAGCATTCTCCTTGATTGAACTGAAGCATTCAACCACCCCTTTTCAAGCACAACATACTTCCTCAAATAATCTTCATAAATGCTCATACGTACACGTGAAGAAGCTAACCAATACAGATCTGCAATTCCCTCCTACACAAATCAATTGGTTATGTATGCATCTTATCTGTCTGATCTGTTGATGGCATGTGTGGACTATTTGCTGGCATGCATAACTGCTTGAGGGGCACAAACAATGCTTCAACAAACACCTGCCTTCACACAAGAGGCAATACTGACACCAAAGAAACACAGTCAAAAACAAGCAAATGTGAAATAGCTGACCAAAACAAAAGGTATCACATAAAAAGTACTGCCAAGCACTATTTTTACAAACTAAAGCATTTCTGATTTGCTACATAAAATAATGAAAAACCTTTCTTAAGAGTATCACAATTCCTTGGCATGAAAGTCTAGATAACTTTTCAACAAATTATTTTGTCACCACAGCAAATACAGTATTTCTCAAATGATCGCCCAACTCTACCAGCTTCTGAAAGCAGTGAAATTCCAAACAGCTTAGGTATAGACAACCATAAAGCTACAGGAATTAAGGACAACCGTTCGGCCAACGACGACTTCACAAGCAAAATTAGCTCTAACAAAATCCTGTTCCACCATACTAGATGGTAAATCATCTGCAATTAGGATCTGCTCAGTCCACGTTCTAAGATATAACTATCTTAAGTAATTACTTCTGATTACTGGAGGCATGCTTCCAGTGATTTTTTGTCATTTACAGCAGCAAACGTATATTGGTGCATATTTGCATTATAACATAATCAAATAGCTGCTTTATCCCATGCACTACATTTGATTTATCTCACCTGTTTTTTGTTTTTTTACTCTCCTTAGATTTATTAGGATTTCAGTGATGATCTACAAACTACAGATCTGACAAAGTTAAAGTGGTACATGTTGGAAGGCTGCATCTTCTAATTACTGAATCTCAGTCCTTTGTTTGATCCTAAGAACAAAAATCATGATATAGACTTCCTGCTCTAACACAAGAGAGCAGATCTTACCCACCTCTTTGCAGACGCAGGTGATTTGGCCACAATTACAGCATTCCTGTAGTCTGGTATCTGTAGCAAATAACAGATAGCAATGTCTACTTCACATCCTTTAGACAATTTAAACTCAGTAAGAATCAAAGAACTTTATTTTGCCAGAAGAACTTTAAGCATCAATATTTTACCTAACATAAGAAAGCAACCTCAAGAATCCATGGTACATGACCAGCGTTCACAGCTCAGTAAATCCAGGTATTAGGCAAATTCAGTTTTTAACTTAAAAATGTACCTTTCACAAACACGATGTTATATACAGATTACACAAACACACACAAAAAGAAACGCTTTAGAAGAACATTATGACTACGGAGACTAGTGTTAATAAACAGGAAACCATCAGAATTAAAGGTTCCTGCTTGACTTAAATACTCTTGTGCGTACACACAAGTCTTTAATCACCTGACAACACTGTATTTCATCTTAGTTCCTAGTTCTGGGGTTGTTTTTCAAAGCACACACATAAAAAACCCCTCTCCATCACATCATACTGACTCCTCACATGAATAAGGGATAAAAATTCCACATTCACGATCCTGGAGTTACAGTCCAATATTGCCATCAACCATCTTTACGCAGATCAGCACTAGGGAATGATGCTGCAAACGCTGGCAGCAGCACAGCGGCAAGATTCAAGTTCTGTTTTCATTTCAAGGGCTGATGGGCAGACATGAGTCAACCTTTACATGTACAGTCTACTCCAAATCTGTGCCCCCCTTATACTTGATCTTACGCTCTTCCTTGCAAAATCAGCATTTTCCTTCACTGGAAGGATGTGCGCAGCCACAAAGAGCAGAAGAGAGAGAACCTGTCTGCTCTTTTATCAGCTGCCGTAGCAAAAGTCCACAGACACCATTGGTTACAATAGCAAATAGAGTCCTAGGGAACAGATCCAATCCTCAGGGAATCCCAGTGATAAGGGCATTAACACTCTCTGCTGAATACATGCAACCACATCTGTCTAAAAACCTTTTCTATACGACACATTTCCAGGGACAGGACCTGGACATACAGTTCACCGTCAGAAGGCAAATAGCTGCTCCAAAGCACAGACATAGTAGCTTTTCTAAACAGAGGCAAGGTTAAGTTTTCCTTTAAGCTTATTCTCAAACACACAAACCACACTGGCTGAGTTTTTCCAAAAGCATTCTACCCAAAGCAGGCATGGGAAAATTTTTGCTTACGTTCTGAATTTTGGCATGGGCCTACTTAACTGAAAGTGAGAACTTTCCAGAAGACATGTCAAGCAACATTAGTAAATAGCAATGCTAACTCCACCTATAATAGTGGGAATTCAGCATGTACTGCCCTTTATAAATGCTTAATTATATAACAGGCTATGAAGATTAACACAATGGAAGGTATGGACAAGGTAGGGCACGTCATTTGACACAAGAAAGGCTTTGATCTCGTTCAGACATTTTTCCCCTGCCAAATCTTAAAATTTGTTCTAAGCTCTTTAAAAATGAAGTCACAAAGCCATAAATCTCACCCAAAAGATAATCAGACATCAATAAGTTGAAGTAGAAGCAAAGAGCTACGTCAGTCTAAGAATTAACATGTACACATAAGAAAGATGAAAGGGCACTAAGTATTAAACGTTTGCTAGGAGTACAAGGGATGATCACAATATTATTTCTATGCCACGTAACTTCACCGATTGGACTTACTTCATCCCAGAGCACCATATAAACATACAACTCCCTTTAAACCTAGGCAGAAATTCCTCAGAGAACAACTACAAGCCCTCAACGCCTTACTTTCAGTCAAATGGTTCATAAGTGACCTCCATTCTTATCAAGCTGGTCTCTATTTCATGCTATTCAATACACCCCATTACAACTACCATCTGAAATATTTTGCGTGCTTTGGCGCTTACAAAGCAGGATATCCAGCAACCATACACCATCACCATGAACTTGAGATGACTACTAAATTCTTCTGAGCAACACTGTATGAAACTTAAGAGGGGATACTATATATCACCTGACCAGTGAGGGTATTTGTGAGTATATACCCCACGTGATCGGATACATCCAGGCACTTCAGTTTTAATAAGCAGAGAAGTGAAGAAATTAAGCCCTCTTTTGAAGCCCTCTCTACATATACAGAAAAAAACATTAGAAAGCAACAGTGGTATTATACTTAAAAAGCAGGAACAATTCTTTGTAAACCATTAAGAACTCAAAATATCAAAATTTGCTTAAAGACTAAATCTGGAACATAACCTTGTTACCCAGTAAATTCCATAGGTCCAAGCAAAATATAAAAGCACAACTTGCCTTGTGTCCGCACATACATTTTTCTACTTTCTTCCTTTTTTAACTTTTGAAGTGATTATAACACACAATACTTCTATCCTGGCGTACAAGCAAGATGAATGACTATGGCAAAATCAGAGCCAGGAGTTTTTTGTTCTACTGTCCTCTTTGTTAAAGATTTCCTTGTACCAAATACAAAGTTAACAACAGGTTGAAACAGTAACCGGTTCCCTACTCAGATTTCAAAAACTGTCCTAAAGACAACAAAAAAATCCAATATATGATTTTGTTTATCGTGGCATTTATATCCCTATCAGAAGAAACACGTTGGGTTGAAAAGTGACAGCGAACTACGCATTTTCCTCTCACCAGGACGAAAGCATTTGCTTTTTTCCAGGTTATTATTAATCACAGGCACTATATACATTTTTACCTATAGTTCTCAACTGCACGTTTGTACACATGAATCTACCATTACCACTCTTGAAAGTGCTTTATAAAAAGTAATATCCATTTCAAAGATGGAGAAAGTGAGCCACAGAACATCAGATGCTAAGCTCCTCAAGCCAAGAAAGATGAAGATTTCCTCACCAGGAGTCATCTTTTTTACTTTGAGATTCCGATTGATAGGCTATTTCTTACAGTTACAACTTAACCTCCAAAACGTTTCCAGAATGCTGTATAAATCACATCTACACAAGTAGACCATTCTGTAAATGCCAAGGAAGTCAGAAAGGAAGAGGATGTCAAGAGCAGGAAAAGCCTGAATTATTTTTTACATTAAAGGACTATGTCTAAGACAACAGGATAGCGTCATTAGCATAGATAAGAAAATGCCAGGTCTTCACAAAGAAGAAGAAAGCTTAAGCCTGGGGGAGGGGGAGGGGAAGTAGCCAACTACACCATCCTCTGCCCCAACATGTCCTTTGCCCCTTTAGAATCCTTTCCGAAATGAGTTAGTCTTTTCACACATTTTCCTACAGGTAGGAATTCGTATTAAAAGCCTTGAGACCTGACACAGAATAATTAAAAAAAAAAAAAAAAAAAAAAGTAACAGCAGGCCTTCCTCACCTCTTCCTGGATATACTGCAGTAAAAATGGAGATGCTCTCAAGTTATCAACCGGAATATTGAAGAAGCCCTGTATTTCCTTCTGATGTAAATCCATGGTAATAAGGTGAGTTAGTCCTTAAAAAAGACACACAGAGAAGCACATGGAGAAAAGCGAGGGATAACAAGACACATTTTATTTCTCTAGTAAACTTCACTGAAGTTTGTTCAGAACAAACTTTCTAAGCTGCATTAGAACAAAAGTACTACAGGTAGTACTTAGGTATGTAGAGTACTAAATAAGCTCCTCTTAAACACACAGGGGTTATCACAACTCTAGATCTCTATAGTTTCTCTTAAAAAAAAAGAACAATCTGAACAATCTACATAATATAATTAGTAGTGCCACACCTGTGTGAGGCAGGTAAGATCTTTCTCTACATGACACCTGGTAAAATGTAAGCACAAATACGAATTTGTCCTATGCCACACAGCAAGACTCTGGCGAAGCTAACATTGGAGTTCTGAATAATGGACCCAAATTCTAATCATCCCCACATTTCTTCTCTCAAAATAATTAAAAAAAAAAAAAAACACAGATCACCCAGCGCTCATTATAACTGCCCACTTTTTTCCAGGGACAGAAGCAAGTGCAAGTAGAAAGGAGAAGAAATCTCATTCTCACACATCATCTTAAACATAAATAGATACAAAGTAGATTCACCCAACAGGTACAAAACAGACCAAAAATGGCAAAGTACACCTATCTGAAAGCGTAAGAAAGGCAAAGAGCATTATGGTGGAGGAATATCACCTCCCGAAGCATTAGGAGTCCAGAAGACTCATCTTGTCAACTCAGAAGGACACAATCTAAATGGATGTTACAAATTCTTTATGAACTCATCATTTAGAAGTGTTTCTAACTGTATCATCCTTTCCGAGCGGATTTTAAACTTATGAAAAAATTTGTCGTTATTTTTAATCAAACTCCCAGTGTGTGCCCAGATCCGAAAACTGACAGCGGGAACCCCCACTTCCCTGATTATTTCATAACAACCTGCGTTCTTACCAGCTTTGCACATCATTGAAGCCAGTAATTTAGAGACAATGGAGCCCCTTTTTCTCATCTTGCACTGCTTGCTATACGGGAAGTAAGGAATCACTCCAATAATGCTTTTGGCACAGGAGGTTTTACAAGCGTACACCATGATCAGGAGTTCCATGATTGTAGTATTCACATCCCTGGAACGAGAAGCATTAGTTCTGTATTCATGCATACAAATTCTGTAGCTGAAGTCAATACAATACCTAAATTTGCTCCAGGGATTTCACTCCAGTGCAGTAGAAAGAACAGTGATAGAGCTATCTCCTTCAAGAACCCAGCTGTACACCTCAGGAGGGCAAGTGCGCTGGACCCAGCATTTTAATTCCTCACTAGAATTACAGGCCAATATTTTTTTCCACTTATTGTTGGGGCAAATCAGCCGTTTTTGTTATAGCATTTTCAAGCTTTTAGTAATATAGCACATTGCTACACCAAACTAGACCATAATTTACCTCCAATACCTATTTCGACTGTGCACAAAACAGATACATTTCCAATACAGATTAACAAATTTTTTTTTTCAATTCAGACTTTGCAACATATTCTTCTATCATTCAAGCCAATAGCAGGCTAATTATTTAGCAACTATCATCTCTTTTCTCCTCCACATTAAAAAATTGAGAGGTTTTTCTTTTTTTAGCTGAGAACTGGTCATCAGCTAAGAGAAGTAATATTTCTGTTACTACTAACAATCAGAAAATCCCTTTGCATTTGTAAAGGTCTTTCCACACCAGAAGAAAGCTGTCTTATGAATGATGGGACCCATCGCCCAGAAAACTGTCCTCCTACATTTGAAAGTTTGTAATAGTGCTGGACCTGGGGCAGCTGACATGGCAAGAATTTAAAGAGAACGTACTGAGCAAGAGAATGCTCTTAGCAAAAGTATGCAGAGACCCCAGGGTAAAATTTTCACCGATTTTTTCCCTGAAAATAATACAGGTAAGCTCATACTGATGTCGTCTTTGTGAAGAGAGAGAGAACAAGCAAGAGAGCGAGCGAGCAAATGCCATATCCAAAAAGGCAAAGAGGAATTAAAACAAAGGCATTCTTATGGACAGTCCATGTCAAAAAGTTAGTACAGTGGCTTCAAATAGTTACTCACTTTGAAACTGTCTGGATGATAAACACATCCTTTCCTCTCACAGACTCCTGGATCTGCACTCTTGTTTCTGCCAAGAAGAGAAACATGTAAGATTCACAGGAGTAAAACGCAACAGAGTCTAAGAAAAGGGTAGCCAATAAGTCCACGTCCCACTTAGGTTAAGTTCCTACTTTTGCAAATGAAATGCTCACCTCTGTTTGGCTCCTGATAAACCTGAACTTTCCCCATTTCAACTCCTAAGCGCCTGCAGGAGCAGAAAAAAGAAAAACAGAAGTCGGTATGTGAAAATGAGGGCCAAAATGAACGAAAAGCCCATACAATGCAATAGCTATGAAACGGCTACATTTCACAAAACAAAATAATTATATTGGAAGTCTCTCAACAAAGCATCCACACTTTCCAGAAGCCACACTGCAAGTTAAACTAAATCCGTTTCCAAGTCAAGATCCGAAGAATGAACAACAGAATAAAAATAATACTGGATTATGGAGTCAGTTGCTGACTTCTCATTATTATAACAGATATATATCAACATAAACATGCACAATGTTTACAAGACTCTTTTTAACAATTCTTTTTCTTAGAAGAAATACCAGTCTAGAATGAACAGTAAATATTAGAAAGCTCTATTCGAGGAATAATGGAAAACTAACTGGTGGGGTTTTTTTTTTTTCATTTCTATATTAGCACAGAACAGCATCATTAAAAAAAGGGAAACACGAGAATATGGTATGCACATATATCCACGACCTTGCAATGCACAGCTTCAGTTCCTTTGCGCTCTGCTTTCTCCCGTCTCTATCAAACTTAGGCTACAAAAGCCTCAGGAAGAAACCCATGCAATACTTCTGATGATATTATGCATACTAATACTGTTATACTAGCAAGATAAACATTTACTTAAGTCATACAAGCTCTGCTAAAGCTTTTCATGCATTTAAAATGAAACAAGTGTCCCCATCTAAGATATGCAATGAACAGGATGGATACACCTTTGCCTCCTAAGAAAGCTATGCTACCAGGAAAATGAGGAGTTACTTCTGCCATGATTATTTAACACTACGCAAACATTAATTTTTGCCACATGTTCTCTAAAACGTGTGTACATACAGCCAATCACAACCTGCCACTGAAAAACTTAAGACTCAAGCGATTTTCTTTGTTAGTCATCTGCTGAAATATATTCCACAATAGAGTACACTCTTCTAGATGTTCTTGTAGACAGTAGCAGTTTTCCTACGTAACTGTTATAAAGCGCAAAAATCAGTCTTTAGTAAAGCAAGTACCACCATAACAATAACAAGATACTAAGCTGCCTTGCAGGCAGATTTTACTTACTCAGCAATCCTCTTTGATAGTTCCATGCATGAGGAATTTGAATTAGCCGAAAACAGTACCAGTCCACCCTTGGTTATATTCATGATGGCCCCAATTTCAGTGGATGGCATACAAAACATCAAACCTACGTTGTCTTCCAACTTCTAAAAGACTGCAAGAGATCAAAGTGTATTAAAGCCATAACATTAAAAACAAGGAACAATTTTTCTATGATTAGAGAGTGAAGAGTTGTTCATAAGCCTGAATTCTCCAGCATCCTTAATGGTTATTATGACCATTTTTCACAATACCATGAAGCCATCCTTACAGTACTCTTTATGACCTAAAAGTCATACTCTTCACAGACCTAGCCCAGTATATCTAACAACGTAACAAAAAAATGGGACTTCAGTCAGCTTTGCCCTCCTTCTCCTGCTCCCAAACTTTACACAGCCTCCAGCAAAACGTTCCCCAAAAGATCTACATAAGCTCCCACTAGACAATCTCACTTCAAGACAGCTTAATTCACGTTTTGTTTTCAAGCTGTCCTCTCATAACACGGATGATCTTTTCCATCAGCTTGTTCAGCTCGCTTTCTAGAAGAACTGAGCAACGTTTGATGACTGTTTCAAGATCGCAAAGCCAACTATAGGCAGGATTGAACAAAACAGAGGAGCTCTTTTGTCCTGGCACTCTGCGAAATTGACTAGAAGAGTCTATTTACAAAACTGCATCTTCCCATTGTTTTGCAACAAATTATAAACTTACAAAAAAGGATGGAATGTAAGGAAGAGTTCAATAAAGTTGGTAGCTGTAAATAATGACCTCTTGCACAATGCATCCGCTTGGTGAAGCAGTTGTTGTCATTCTTTGACACTAATATTTCTCCTATGGAAACAGGAGAAAAATATCAAGAGGAAATTTAGGCATTTTTTTTTCCCAAATAAAGGCACAAACCACTAATCCCATCAAGGTTCTTCACTTTTTATTCCTGCTCTGAAACATTACTTTTTCATGTCTTCTTCTAACCCAACGTTTTGTTCAAAAAAGAGAAACACTCATGTTGACCAGCAGCCACTGACAGACCTAAGTAGCATCCAGCCAATGAAATCTTAAAATGTAGCCCTTCTCACATATAAGTACTCCAATCCTTCACAGCACATTCTAGCGTTACGTAGGGGACTTGAAAGTATCAAATTCCAGCAGCGTTATTCAAAACAAAGTAGAACTTAACCTTAATCAATACCGTATTCCCTGACAAACATTTCTCCACTGAGAAACAGTTATCTAACAGTCATACATAATTTGTTGTAAAAAACTGATGGCACGCCAACTATCAAATACTCCAAAACAGCATTCAAAAAGAAAAATAACAGTTGTCATACTGACAGGAATAGCTGGCTAGCTCTATTAAAAGAAAGACAGTCTGCCCATCTTTGCAACTAGATATGCTCTTGACCTAGCAACAGAAACTGTACTGGATTCATTCTCATTTAAGAGCTAAGGTAAAGAACTTCCTCTAGATGAAACTCTCCATGATGAGACTACACTATGCTCAACCACTTTGAATCAAAACCTGCCTGTGATCAAAACTTCCAAAACGCATAGAAAGAGAACACAAACAGGGATAAGACGGGCAACAGCAATTTTAATACCTAGATGTTTGACCCTGTTAGAACCCGGTGGGACCACTTACACAGCTAAAATAATACCATACCCCTTGCAGTCTTTGCCTTCAGCTGAGAAGGGTTTAAAAAAAAAAAAAGCATTTGATTCCTAGATGGCAGTACAGTGACATACAGTCAAAATCTCAACTCCCTCCTAAACAAAGTACTCAACAATTTAAAGAGAGTAGTCAACACATTTTGTAATAAAAACGTAATGCCATTTATTAGCTAGCGTTTCTTTTGTTTTGTTGCAGCTACTCTCTGTAACTCCCAGATGCTAACTGCTTGCCATCATCTGCCAAATATTCATAGTGGTTTTGAAGATGCATCTTAAATGCATCATGAATACATGCTAGAAATGTCTCCTTGATACAGGCTTTTAGTTCTCAGAACAATACCTGAATGTACCTTTCCTGTGTAATTAGATGGGAGCAATGTAGATGCAGCTTCCAAATATTACTGCAAACATTTATATGAGCTTTGAAGATGCTGTTCTCCCCCCCCCCCAACTTATGTTATCTTGGTCCACAGATAAGGAAAATGAGGGGAGTCAAAGATCTGGTGAAAGGCAAGAGCTGTTGTTCCCTGTTCATTCTTCAGGATCCATTTTACTCTGCAGTAAGATACTGATATATTTGCAAGACACATTGAAGATTCAGTGTTCCACATAACCGTTGCACAAGGACTTTCCTGTGGATGTGCTGCAGCAGCAACAAGTGGGCTACAGTGTTTGTGGGGGGAAAGAAGTTGCTTTCACAGAGTAATATTTATGTATTAACCTTGAGGCACGTATTGGGATGACAGCATGTCCACATGCTTTATTAGACGGGTAAAGACAGGACCCCACGAGAGCGCAGGGGACCACAATCCTCTGCCTCCAGGTGGGCAAGTCTTCCAGGTCCGCATCAGCTTTGAGGAAAAACACAGACCACAGCGTGAGCTGCAGCCCACAGACTCCCACCCTTCCTCTTCGGCGGCACACGACCACACAGGCACACCCGTGGGGGAAAACCGCAATTCCGGGGCTGAGCACCCACGAGGCCCAACGCCCACGGGCTTCGCAGCCGAGCAGAGGCGGACAGCGGCAGGAACGACCGCCCGGTACAGCCACGGGAGCGCGGAACAGATCATCCCCCCTCCCTT